TTATTGTTTAGAGGACTGCCACATGCCTCTGGGTAATGCTTTTCGTCAAACGAACATTTTCCAGCCTCCTTTTCATGTGTTCTCTTTCTCGTTGTGTGACATAACCATTCTTCCATATGGTGTGCTTAGGGTCTGTAACGTTCTGTTCCGACAAGGTGCATCCTCAGTGTGCCTCTGCTATTTCTCCTCGCTCTTTCCATTACAGAGGACTTCCCTCTGTGAAGCAGGCCATCACAAGGACAAGAATGAGATGCTTGGTAATAATCAGGAGAGGAGCAAGCAGGTCCAAGGGAATTTGGGATCCACCCCGCCCACACTAGTTTATGGGCTTAACGAAGGACCCCAGTCAAACCCATTAGGGTCAGAAGTTTGACTGGGATAAAGAAGTACAAAAGACAAAGAGAAATAGTAGACAACAAGAGGGATGAATGTTGTAAATGAGTTGCATTTGGGAGAATATAATTTCTCCTTAGTAGGGTATTCCAAAATGAAACAGTATATTTTACATAATAATTGTCTGCCATCAATTCAATTCTGAGTGATGTTGACGACTCTTTCTGGGGTTTTTCTAGGTGGAGAATACACAGAAGTGGTTTACACTTCCCATCTTCTGGTGGGCACCCTGGGATTGTGTGGCTTGCCCAAGGGCACACCGGCTGGTTCTACTCGCAGGAGGCCCAGCGGGGAATTGGACTCCTAGCCTCCGGCAACACTGCCAGATATCTAACGCACTGAGCTATCAAGCCAGCTATTTTCCTCTATAGGCAGAAATTATTTTAATTTCATATCACATTGTTTCTGATTTATAATTGTCACTTACAAAATTGGCACAGCTGCAGATAGCCTCCAGCTATAAAAGCTGTATTATTCATGGGCATTAAATGCCTTGCCTGTTTCACACCTCTCTCTCTCTCTCTCTCTCTCTCTCTCTCTCTCTCTCTCTCTCTCTCTCCTACAACTCCAATGCATTCTCACCCTTTCTCTTCAAAAGCCATCCATTTACAACTAGCTAGTCAGTTGTACTCAGGAAAAGAACACAGGGTTTCCAATGCTTCATCCCCACGTTTGCAAATTGACAGGCTGGCCTTTAATTTATATCTTTTAAAGTAAGTGTGGGTCTCCTGTCTTTCAGACTTTCTTCTTATGTTGATTAGAAAAGAACAGTCAGTTTAAGGGATATAACTAATCATAGGAAGAGTTAGGGTCCCAAATCATCCATGCTATGGTATTCCCGATGAATATGTATGGAAGTGAAAGCTAGACAGTGAAGAAAGCTGGCAGAAAAAAAAGATTAGTTCAAAACATTGTGTTGGAGAAGAGCTTTCTGGACACTGTGGGCCATTAGAAAAGAAAATAAGTGGGTGCGACATCAAATCAAGACTGAACTTGCTATAGAACCAAACATGACTCAACCGAGGCTATTCTACTTTAGGCACATCATGAGAGGACAAGACTCATTGGAATAGACAGTAATGCTTCGAAAAGTTGGAAAGCAGCAGGAAAAGAGGTGGCCTGACTATGAGATGGATTGAATCAATAAAGGAAGCCACAGCCTTGAGTTTGCAAGAATTCAGCAGGGCTGTTAAAATATAGAACATATTGGAGATCACTACTTCATAGTGTTTCCATAAGTCAGAAATGACTTGATGGCACATAACAACGAAAATATCAATAACTGCCTTTTGTTGTTTAGTCGTTAAGTCATGTCTGACTCTTCGTGACCCCATGGACCAGAGCATGCCAGGCCCTCCTGTCTTCCACTGCTTCCCAGAGTTATGTCAATGTACCGTATTTTTCACTCCATAAGATGCACCTTTCCATAAGACGCACCAATTTTTTAGGAGAAGAAAACAGGAAAATATAATCTGTTTTCTTCGCTCCATAAGACGCACAGACTTTCCACCCCCCTGTTTTGTGGGGGAAAAGTGCATCTTATGGTGCGAAAAATACGGTAATTACCTACTTCAGGTTCAATTTCAATCAGTTTGGAACTAGAACAGAAAGATGTGAACCACAGTTATTTCCCAATCCTCCAAGATAGATGCTCTTGTAAAGCTTTGTGGTTTCAACCAGACAATTTTATGGTGAAAATATGGGAAGTGAAAAAAATGGATATTCTGTCAGATGGGCTGAAAGACTGTTCAATTCAAAAAGAAACTGAACGATGGGATGTATTGTATAAATGGCAGCAGCTACCAGACAATGTTGGAATAACATAGAATAAAATTAAAATTAAATGATAAGATAAAAGCAGGAGGGTAATCAAACTGTGAAAAAGCAAAAAGTTGATATGTATTAGTAATATGAATTGATTGGATGATGTTATACTTTATGCTCTCCTATCCCCCAAAACCATTTTTCCTTTCCTATCCCCTCTTTCTTTTTGTACCCTCTATCCCTGTTCCTAAATAAAAAAGAAAAAAAAAAGAAAAAAAGCTTTGTGGTTTCAAGATGGAGAATGTTTTGGTGCCATGAAGAGTCCAAAGATTCTTATTAATCCCCAAGCGTCCCCACCCCCTTGCTCTTTAAAAGATACAAGGGAATATCCATGCTAGGTATTGCTGTAGTGCTATGCCACTTACTAAATTAAACCAAAAAAGAGGGAGTTGCGGTGGCTTGCAGAATGGCAGCCATGACAAAAGGCAGGGGAGGACACATTTATAGCAGCTAGTCAGGCCCTATGTTCTGGTTAGTTCCCATTAGAATCAATGGAACTTACAGAGGAGTCAACTCACCAAATCCCCATTGGTTCAGTGGACCTTTGTGTGATTTAATACGCTAAGCAACAAGATTGGGGCCAACAATTGCAAAGGGCTCCAAGCAGTCAGCACATGATCAGACAGACAAAAGAACTACAGCTAGAGAGCACAGTGGGTCTTGATGGAGCCGGCGGCTTAGTGGTACTCACATCTATATTGCATTATCTTTTTAAAAAAGCAGGCCTTCTAGATTTCTCAGGAAATAAATCCTTACAAATCTACTTCTTTTTTTCTGCAGTTTTGCCACTGGAGCTCCCCACCCTATTTTTAAAAGTTAATTTCAGTTTCTGTGTCATGGACTGAGTCATGGGTCATTTGATCAGTGGGAAAAAAACATGAAACCACCAGTTCTGAACCAAGTACTTGTACCTCCATCTGGACGAGCCCTCCTGGAAATAAAACCAACCCTGGTTGATAGAGAAGAATGGTGAAAAAAGTGCCATTTTCTTAAGTGCCAATCCTCAAGCATCCTTTTTAGCACCTCTGCTAAAACAAACCCTCTTACAGAACAACTGCCTTCTTTGGAAAACAATAAGAGTTATGCTCAAAAAAAGTATTTTGGTGGCACCCTGTCCTTGCGTGTTGTCCAGACGTGTTTGCTTTTCATCATGCAAGCTGATGTCTTGTCGGGGAGTTCTGATATTCCGGGAGCGCTGTGTCCACTGTTGTTATTTAACTGCTGTCTCAAAAGTAGGTTGTCAAAGGGGTTAGAAAGTTGATAATGTTGTGTTTTTCAGCATGGATGAAAATGTAAACATTCTTTTATACTTATTTTATTTTTATTTCTTATTTTTCCCCCATCTTGAACCATATTACTATTGTTGCTTTTAATTTTATTATACTGTTTTTATTCCATTTTTAATGTTAGCCGCCCAAGTAGACTTGTCTCTAGATGGGCTGGGTATAAATTTAATAGTCTCATGATGTGGTGGTTAAACTGCAGTACTGCAGCTAAAACTCTGCTCACGCCCCAAGTTCAGTCTTAGGTTGCCGGATCGAGGCTGTCCTAAGTCGGCAAATTGAATACACAGCTTGCTGGTGTGTGTGTTTGTATATATGTCAATGTATAGCCTGCATTGTTGAATTGTAAACTGCCCAGAGAGTGCTTTAAGTGCTATGGGGTTGTCTATAAGGAGTAGACTGTGCTTTTTGCCTTTTTTTTTACCCTCACAATTGTTTCACCAAATACCCTAGGGTTTTTATTATGTTATTTTAATTTTTTTTAAAAAAATTGCCTTTAACCAGTTCCTCCATCCCATTCCTGATGGCTTTTCTGGGCCAGCTTAGTCTGAAATTGACGAGACCAGCACACGGCCTCCCATAGATTTCATTTGCTTTATCATATTA